TCTAGGACACAGCGGGGGGGGGGAGGGGTCTGGGCATAAATGTTTTCATTAGGGGCGGGGTCCCTCTTTGCCCGTCGCATGGTAATGTGACATATTTATGTTTTTTTGTCTGTTGGTTTCCCTGTTGATAACCCGTGCCGGTGTGAAAATATCTCAACTGTACCTCATGGCTGCAGTAAATACAGTGACAGTGCCCCCCCGCCCCCTTGTACAGTTCTTGGTCTTTCTTATTAATGATACCAGACTACAATGTTGATTGGCTGTGTAGAGTTCATTCTTGTTACATGAGTCTCCTCACCCGCCCCCAGAAATTAAATCTGAATCTCTGTATTCTTTTTAAAGCCTCCCACTGAACCATGAAGCTTTGGCAATACAGCACCAGTGCCCACTGGGATGCCAGCACTGGGTATTCCTCAGTCCCACTATGCCCATGCTTTGTACTTGATAGTAATTCCTCCCCTCCCTTCCCTTCCCATGATGCTCTGTGCAAGAAAACATTGTTCTATCCTGATCTCCCTTCATGATTAAACACATTCCGACCGTCACATAGTTTCCCAGCCTGTAATTTCTGGTTCCTCTCACACCTGTCATCCCCATCCACCCGGTGAACTGGCCCTGCACAGTGACCCGTATGGAATAAGGGAACAAGTCTTAGTGTCAAGTGGACAATGACTAGTCCCCAGACCATAGTTTAGAAAATGGGTCTGTAGCGTGCATGGTTTGTGCGTGCCCCGCATCGATCTGTTAATGGTGTGGGAGGCGGATGGTGGTCTTAGGCGCTGCAGTGGCCCATAGTGTGTTTCTGTGTGCGATGGGGGAGGAGAGACCCGCCTCTGAGCATGTCTAGCCTCCGCGCCATTGGTCTGTCCGTGAAGTGGGTGGCAGCAAACCACCAAGAGCCTCTTACCAATCTGGGCAGCTGAACCGGCCCCCTTAGGTGCTGTTAGAGTGCGTGGATTAGCATTTGAAATAAGAGCTGGGAGGGGGGGGCTCGAATCTGTCGCAGCCGTCCGCACTGGACCTCAGTACCACCCGTGCTGTCGTCTGCTCTCCTGGCGCTGGTCCGCGTCTCGCGGCCCAAAGAGGGCAGGGGAAGCCTTACCCAGTGCGTAGCGCTCGCCGACGGCTGCCCAGACTGCAATCAGGGCCCGACAGTCATCGCTACCCCCACCAGACACTTAAACTCCGAGTCCGTCGCTGGCAGCCAGAGCCTGCGGGAAACGCAGCCAAAACAGGGCCGTGGAGTCCGCAGATACACTCAAATGTTTAACTAACTGCACGGTTTAAGACACGTTAACAGTCCACCTGTCCAGCTCGTTCCAGCCAAAAACTTTATTGACAAAAATGACAGTAACGGTGTCTGAGCAGGCTGCACAGGTCAGAAAGAACAAAAAACACCTTATTTGTGTGAAAAACACATTAAGCAGTAATACCATCTAGCATTTTAGTATTTTGTATTAATACTCGTAAATAAGTTTTCTGTTGCTGTTCAGTGCCTGTGAGGGTGCAGAAGATGGCGTCCTTCTCAGTTTTGTTCGGCGTTTAATGTTCTTGATTTTCTTCTGCCTCAAGCTAATTTTCCTCCAAAGCAAATTTTTTTTTTTTCTGGTGGTTTTTCTCAACCACAATGGAAGCTCATCCGAAAGCTCAAGCTGCCCCTACAAGCCCACTGCGCCCGTCTGGATCGCCCCTCCATCAGCAAAGACACAGCGGGAGGCTGTAGATAAACGACACCCAACCCCTTCACATGTGACAGAGAGAGAAAAGGGAGGGGGGGGGGGGGCAAGCAAATCAGTGACTGTGCTCCTGCCTGTGCAACCCATACTCCCCTCAAGGAGGAGACGTACGTCCAAAACATTATGCAAACATCGCTCAGTGTTAGCTCCTGTAAGAGCCCACATGGTCTTACTGGCAGAAGTTACTCCTTTTCCAGGGGTGCCCAGTCTTTTGTATATTGAGAGCTATACTCTGAAAATACTCTGGCAAGCTATTGAATTGTAATGGTACATTATACTCCCTGGAATGGGGGAGGGGTATGTTTTGCAGATCAGGGAAGGGGATCCCCCTCAAAACATTTTTCCAATCGTGATCGACCTGGAAGCATGCCAATCAATGGGTTGTGCACGTCAGCCTTTCTCATATTTTTCAGCCATTTACACTCTACCACGCACACTGAGATTTTCTACATTTGTATGTTGCTTACTTAACATTCACTAAAAATACACTCAATATTCTTTGCAAGAATATGACATTATTCTAGCAAATAAATATACAGTATGTTCACCATCTGAGTACCTTCATTAGCAAGAAAATGTCATGGCTTTGATTTATCAAAGTATCCCATTTATAATAGCGAGGAAAATTCGAGGTATTTTTTCTACAAGGCACATTAAATACGGGTCCGTTTCATGGGATGAAACAGTTAACCAGTGCATTGAAAGTTAAAGGACAGCCTAGAATTTGACTATGACATCTTCACACAACCAGTTAATAGGATGTCGGACATGCAATGTTGCATACGATTTCCATGTTATAAAGGAAACTCATTTTATTTGATTAATAGTTTCATTTATACTTAACTTTCGGGTGCTTTCTGATGTTTATGAAATAAATGGAGATGATAAAAGCTGTGGTGTGACTGGTAGTATATAGTGCTCACTGCTCATGGGAGAAGAGCAAAGTTTGGACAGAAATAAAAGAGAAATCACGAAGACTGTGCAGGACGAGTCAAAAAAGCATGTTAATCCATCTCTACCTCATAGAATCTGCTGGCCTCATCCTGACACAAAAACACAAATCCCAGAGCAGCAATACACAGCTGGTTCAAGACGTGAAGGTTTTTCCATCTTTTATATAAATATGCAGCAAACAATATTAAGCAGAGGTGGGTAGTTCAGGTCCTGAGAGAAAAGGTCTAGACCAAGATTTTGTTTCAACCAACCAGTTGAGTACTCTGTGACTGTGACTAACTCAACTGATCTAGGTTTTTACTCTCTAGACCTGAACTATCCACGTATGATATTAAGCGGTTGATGAATTTTTGCTAGTTAAAGTTATAATTTAAAAGAAGATACACTCTCCTGTTGTCAACCAGTTGGAAGAGGTCGCCTGGGTCACGGAGATCTAAGCTTGGTGATGGAGGGAGCAGACGGGCCACAGGGGACCAGGGTTCTAAGTCAGCCAACCATCTGCTGTGGTTCCTGTCTCCTGACAAAGGGATTTGTTATCAGCTGAGAGTAAGGTGGGGTGCAGGTCTGCTAAGAGGCTTCCAGATGCTGTGTCCATGGTCTACAGATGGAAACCTCTCTACACCAGTAGTGAAAGTTCAAGACAAAGCGCTAATACAATATAGATAGAGCAGAAAAATAGATAATAAAACATAAATAGGGCTGTAAATGTGGCAAATAGACATATAAAAGTTTATCTGCTTTAAAGTGCAATCCTGGCATGTATTGAGGGAGGGGTGAGGGCGGGCACACTGAAAGGGGGCATTGTAGTGCTCGAAACGATACCCAATAGCGCTTCATTATACGCTGTGGTGGACAGAGCTGGTGGCTGAATGTGCTCTTAGAGAGCGCCTTCTAGAGGGAATGGGAGAAATTGTTCCTGATGACCATCAGTTTTGCCACCATATTTGTCTGATGTATGTTGTATTTACCATAAACAATTCCACAAATCCTGGTCATGGGAAGAGTAAGGCATGCTTCTGTCAGTCAGAAACTGATTCAGCTTGCTTCACTGTCCAGCTTCACGTCACAAGTCGTGCTTCACTGCAAACCAGATAATGATTGACAGGTTACAGTAATCCCACCCACTTTGTGTTTCAAAGCCTCATTTCATCCACACTCAGAAAAAATGGCAAAAATTTGTACATTTGCTTGTCACTGGAGCTGTACCCTTGTAATTATAACTTTTGAGGTAGAGAAATGGACTCTGAGGAACATTCCAAAACTATAAACAGCATTAATGTACCATCAATGGTACAGAAATGTTTCTCATAGTCCATTTATGTACCTTAAAAGGTACCTACAGCTAATTGGTACAATTGGCAGATCCTTGAAGGTACAGCCCCAGTGACAAGCAAAGGTACAAATTTTTACGTTTTTTTGAGAATGCACTGCAAATATACCTTGCTCTTATTTTCTACCATAATTGAATAGAAATTTGTTTGAGTGCTAGTTCAGTTGACAGGCAGACATATTTGGAAAAAACATGTATTCTAGGTCTTGTGGAAATAATTTAAACAACCTGGAAAAAAAAAATCTAAAGCTGTCTGGAAATTAAACTGTGGAAAATACAATGTGATTATATTTTTCATCATAGGGGCTGGGGTATGGGGTGGAGAGAAAATATCTGTGGAATGGTGACCCACGTACAAAAGTGAGGCACGATTCTTGCTAATCCATCTCACTTGTCTCTCAAACTTACTGATCCATTCTTCATCAATTTCCTCATCACTTCACCCCTGTAAATTTCTCCTCTAGCACAGTGAGCGGATTAAGGGCTTGATTATTGGACTTCAGCCTGACTGAAACTGTTGCCATTGAAAATACTAAGAGCACCGTAGAGGAGCAATATTAAAGACACAGAGACGGCACATTTGCACAGGATTCAGTGTGGACGGTTTTCAGGTGGAACAGACACTTCAGGACTGGGTGACTGGGTCTAGAATGTGGGGTTAGTGGTGAATGGTGTTAAGGGCTTGATAGGCCACTGACTTTTACATCTGAAACCAGCATAAGTGCCAGTAATATCGTCACACCCACCACATCAAATTTTGCACTGATGAATCAGATACCTACTGACTGTCTCACTTGAGTGAAAACATATTTTTTCTGTACTATAATAAATAAGGCTGTTTTGCCTGTTACAGTATGTGAAAGTAAAAAAAATCAACCAACCAGAAAGATTTGCAAAACGAGGGGATATTATTATCGCGTCTGGTCCGTCAGGCGGGCGAAGGGGAGGGTCACGTGGTCCGAGTCAGGCCCCCAGTCACATGGTTCGTGTTTGCTTGTTGGTCGGAGGGGAGGCGTTAAGAAAAGTAGTTTGGGAAGTTTCGCAGCGGTTATTTTTACACGGGAAGTAGGGGGAAAATACGGTGGGACACGATCGGCGTCCGTATAGGACAAAACAAACATGGAGATCCCTGCAGTAAACCTGAAGGTAATTAAGCGGAACAGATTTGGTACGGAGTGAATTAACGGAAACGCCGTCTGACAGCTGCTGTATTTCCTTTGATTCATTCACGTTAGTCGATGCGATGAGGGGACGCTAGTAGGCATCGCTTTGGCGATCAGAGATTCTCGGCTTTGCTTATCAGCCATCGGTAACCATTAACCTGTGGGCTGTTCACGGCAAATGTTTTTATGGGCTGGGCGGGTGGTGATTAAATAGTAATTCGGATATGGTTGCTTTCGTTAGTGTATTGGATGAGTCTGGCGTGTATTTCTCCTCCCAGTCTGGCGGTACGGCAGGTCCTGCTGCTGTTTCCTTCAACTCGCCCATTTAAGCCCGTTTAAGCAGTTAACATGACTGTTTGTGTTCCACCCTGCAGGCCATCGTCTTCGTGCACTGGTTGCTGACCATCTGGTGAGTCTGCTGGCCGCTTTTTCCCCTACTTTTTCTCACACACCAGAGGAATTTCACCTGGAGCCACCAACTCGGTCGTTCGTTAGAGGTGGGGGGGGGGGTTCCTTCTCCTCCTACACAAATTCTTGCTAAGTTAAACTTTTCCATCCCCATGTTCCCCTACGGATTATATAATGAAAACTTGGGGCAAAGACACCAGGGCAATTGGTGCAAAGGCACCATGGTGTCACTATATAACATCACCAGTCAGGGGGCACATACAAGGGCGGGGCCACAGAGGCGCTAGCTGAGAGCTGATTGGCCACAGAGTGCACCCGCCCCTGTCACTCACCAATTCACCTCAGAATCCTAGACTCTTCCCCTGCCGCCTGTACACCTCTGACATTCACGTTTAGGTACCTTTTTATTCACACATGTCAGTTATGAATTTTAAGAGAGGCTGACCTCCAGGGAACATACCAGTTCTGAGGTATTCACTGGGACACTCGTCCCTAATGGTGGCAGGTTGGAAGGGTTGTGCTGAACGTCACTTGCTGTGTGTGTACCTTTGCTTTACACCCGTATGTCACTCCTAGGGGCTGCATGGCCTCATGGCTGCCCTCGTCGTACGCCTGGGGGAATTTCACAGTCCTAGCCCTCGCTGTTTGGGCCATTGTTCAGAGGGACTCTGTCGATGCAGTGTTGATGGTGAGCTTCTCAGCTACTGCACCCCCCTCAGGGGACGGCCAGTAGGACGGCGGCACATATAAGCTGCAGACAATTATGATACGAGAAAAAAAAAGTTGTGCTTTTTAAATCCTGAGTCATTCATAATTGGGGAGCTCTGGGAGACGTACTCAAGTTAGCGGAGTCGAACTGCATCGTGACAGTTTCAGCGAAAGATCCGGAAAGAATAGCTGAGTTTTTTTAGCCCTGTGTTGCAGTGCCATGCATCTGTTATGCGCTAACCACAATAAACCAAAATAAAACCTACTTTTGCTGCTGTTAAGTGAATAAGATGCTCAGTGAAACTACAGGTAAACTGTACTGGTGAAGATTGTAATATGGGAACTTTTACTCTGTTCTTCATCTGCATTTTTGGTGGCCCTTGGAGTGTCCTGATGTCATAAATATCGGTTTCCAAATCATAGTGATGCACAGCAATTTCTGATTTTTCTTGCATCAGAAGTTTTTATTTGGACAAAACTGAATTTGATCATTGAAAATCGTATACTTTGGCTGATGCCTTGTGTTGTGTGTATTCCTGTTGCTTTCTCCACCTGATGCTGTGTCTCCCAACTGCGCAGTTTCTGGTTGGGATGGTGATGACCATGCTGATGGACATCATCCACTTTGGGATCTTCTACCCGCTGGCGGACAACCTGACGGACAGGACACGGGACACGTTCCGCTTCAGCGTGGGCATGGCCATCCTCAGCCTGCTGCTTAAGCCCGTCTCCTGCTTCTTCGTCTACCAGATGTACCGCGAGAGGGGCGGAGACTACAATGTTAACTTCGGTGAGTGGGTGAGGTCCAGTGTGAGTGTGGGACTGCAGGTGCAGAAGTTCAGATAGGTAAGTCATTCTGCAAGATCAGCCCTGCAGCTATGACTTCCTTTCACCGCGTTTCATGGGCCCAGTGAAGAAGCCGTTGGCTATCTTTGGTATCCCAGCCAGTGGTGTAACAGCTAACCCCTACAGGCCTGTCAGGCAATCGCATGTCGTTGACTTCCTGCATTCAAACACAAGCTCTTTTATTGCTGTTTGATCCACAATCAAGTGGCCGGGGGGGGGGGATTTTGGGCTGTGTCATTTTGCATTTCCTGAATATGCTCTGGCCGCATTTCCTAGGTGCCATTTTGTGACACCGTTAACCATTCACGTACGTGGTTAAGCCTCCTCTGAGTATTAACCTACTATGAACAGTTCTGATCGGTGGTGACCTGTTCATCCCCTGTGCATTCAGTTGTACCAGAAAGGGCTGGTTCTGCCTCATCTGCGGTTTAACAGGAGAAAAGGAGGAGTGCCTTGACATGGTCGTGCTTGCACTACCTCTGATTCTTGCCACGCTGGCCATCTTGGCTCCATTCACTCTCCAGCATGTCATGTGACCTGGAGCTGCTTGCATCTTTGTTTCTGTCCCACCCTGTTAACAGTGGAGCCCCCATGAGCCAAGTTGCTAATCCAATTTAGGGAGTCAGTGGCTGGTCTTTGCACCAGTGGGCACAAAATGGCCGTCCGGGGAACACTATGGGGTGCAATATGAAATGTTAATAATTTGGCCCTTGGGCGGTACGTTCAGGCTTGGTTTATTCTGGTTTAGACTGGTTTTTGTAAAACTGTCCCCGTCCAGAAATTTGCCAGATGGCTGTATGTGTCATTACAGTATGTTATAGCTGTATGTGTCATTACTGTATGTTATACCTGTATGTGTCAGTATGTTGATCCAACTCTGATTTGATTTGGTACGAAGAATTGCTCTTATTAGTTCACATCCCACCCGCTTCGACTGCCATCATACCCATAAGTGAGCTACTTTAATGTAATGGGAGGCCAGCGCTTTGAATTAACGGCGTCGTTTTGGGTAAAGCTGTGCGCTAAGTGTATTTTTGGGTTATTTATATTCTTCCAGCCACTGATGTTCCTTGAGGATTCATGGAGTCCTTCACAAGGCTTTCAGGAGGGGGAGTCGGGGGTAGGGGGGGGCGGGGTTTGGCACTGATAATCGTGTATAATCGTGTGTGTGTGTGATGCTAATTTAGAGCCAGCAGAAGAGTGGTGTTCAAATGTAATAACACCTTATATTTGAAGGGGGTGGAGCAGGGTGGGGGGGGGGCTCCTGGTTGCTCCACGTGCACCGGTGGAAAGCTGGGCTTCATTTAGAACCTGTGTCAAGGACAAGGAGGTTGTCAGTGTTGGGTTTTTTTTTTCCAAGTGTAGCTTGAAACCCACTGCTTAATCACTTTGCCTCTCCGCCGGGCTTTTTAGTGAAGCTAATTTCGGCCAACAGACAGGAAGCCGAATCCGCACCCTCTGGGGCACAGACGGTACTTGTCGGCATCACATGTCGGCAGCAACGAGAGCCTCGGTGTTCAGGTTGAGCATCCAGGACCGGTTCTGTCGGCCTTTCCATGAGCCGTTGGATCAGTCCCGTCCTGCTCTGCAAGCGAATGTTTTCCAGGGTGAAAGGTTGCCAGGTATCACTGTTGTCCCGTTTTCCCCACGGTGGTCCTGTACTTTAACAGAAAAAGATGATTTTGAAGCCCCCCCCCCCCACCTTCATGGGGGCCTGTTAGCTCTGCTTCAGGGAGGCACATTTGCAGAGTATCCGCCTGTTTCTTTGTTGTTTTCCTCGGTTGTACGGCTCCGCCTCAGCCTGGCGGTCTGTGTTCACGCTTCCTCGTTCTGCACATTCAGCAGCATCGGCACCTCAGAGTTGGGGAATGCTAGAATGAAAGCAAAATGAAATTCATGAAGTTCTATTTTAAGATGCAGGCATTTAATTTGATTTTTTTTTTACTTCTGGTTCAATCCGCCCTCCCTCTGTTTTCTGTTTGGCCGCTGCTGTGGCTCCGCCCCTAATGTTTTGATTGGTCCCTGTCTCCTCTTTCCTGTACCGGATTGGATCTCACCCCTCTCTGTTTTTCTTTTCCCTCCTCCATTTTTGGCCTGTCCCTCGCCTCTTCAGACCTGGAGACCTCGGTGGACAGTCGCTGCACCTCGGACAGTGGCGATAGCGCCCCCTTCAGCCGGCGCTACTGAGTTCCAGGCCCAACTGCCCCTCCTGTCTGTCTCTCCTTTCTGTTGTATGATTTAAAAACCTTTTGTTTTTTTGTACCAACAGAAGCCGGTCATGTATAACTGTCTCTTTTTCTTCCACGTGTCCAGTATCAGTCGCCTTGTGGCCTCACCTTGCCTGCCATCCTGGAATTCCCTCTTCTGCAGTTCCAATGCACCTGTTCTCTGAACGCTGAAATTTCACACTCCTGTTTTGTAATTCTTCAATAGCCTGTTTTATTATTTTTATCATTACTATTTTAGATGAAGGATTCACACTCGTTGGCTCTTTCCGATTCTGATCTTTTTCTTTTTTAATTTTATTTACTGATATACTGATGTCATTCATTTCTAAAAGCACTGGGTTATTCTGTTGCCCTTTCTGTTTGTAATTCTTTTGGGTAACTCTCTCTTTCTTCAGTTACTTTTCCATTTCTGTTGTCAGTCTCATCTCTTCCTCAGCAGGCTGTTTTGTTTCAGCCTATTAATCGTACGTGTTTGATGTCAGAAATAGATTGGTTAGCCCCTCGCTTGAGCTCTCTGTTTGGAGAAGAAATGGAAGAAAAAGGATTAACATGAACATTTAATTTGTTAAGCCTGTCTATGCAATTTAAAATGCTAACGTTTTCTGTTTTTATTAAGAGTAGTAATTTATTTAAAATTTATTTTTTAAAGTTTATTTTAATAAATTCTTCTGAAGGAAATTTCGTGTTTTTGTTTACACCTCGTGTTTTGTTTAAATGCTTTATTCTGCCCAGTCTGTTCAGCTTATATATCAGAACGGGGTTTATTTTTCAGTTTGTGAATCACTTCACCTGTGTTTCTGTGTCGGCATAATGAATGTTCTAGAACACCCCCAACCCTCCCCCCAGATGCCACAGCACAGGTCAGATGTTAAAGGTTCTATCTAATGGTGGGGTAGCTAAAATGTTGCTAGGCACTGGTGTTGTTGCTAAGTATCCCCCATAATGTTGCTAGGAGATGCATTTTTAACTTAAATTTAGCATGTGGATGTCCATTTGTCGCTTACGCCAGTCGGTTTTCAGTTCTCTTGCGTTTGTTTTTGTGCGTTTTGCCGAAGAGTCCGTTTCTGAAGCTTCTGCGTTCTGGCCCAGAGGCTCAGCTCCGGTCCGCTTCTGGCTGTGACCCTCCATGTCGCCCCAGCGTTGTCCCTCATGACTGCTAAAATGACTGATGGTTATGTTTACGTCACACTAGTCAGCAGTTCTGTCACTACAGTCATACTGGCTAACGACCTGGGTGGAGCAGTTTCATTGTGGGGAATTATTTTTGTGAATCTAATCTGTCTAATCTATCACACATTGCAACTGTCAGAAATTTAGATTTTTTTTGTGCACTTGTTGTTTTGAGTGTAAAAATACTAATAAGGAGTCACGGCAGTTTATGACCTTGATATTAATGCAACCATTCAGTCTTCCCTGTTCATGTGTGTTCTAAACTATTAGGAGATGTTCTGGGTCATGACTGTGGGACAATTAACACAAACATACTTTGAATGACAGTGGGGAAAAATGATATAATTTACATGGCTTGTTGGCTAATTATCAGTAGATTAGCCATCTGCCTGGAAGGACCCCTTCCCGGGGACTTCCTGAATGCTAATCCATTTTACATGCTGAATGCTAACCAGGTTTATCCGATGTCCTGACACCTATTTGTAGCAACCCGCACTGGGAAATGAGGCAGAAAATCTGTGAGCGCGACCTGGCGATCAGCGAGCGTGGCATGAGTGTGACCGCGGCTTGTGTTCTGCACAGGCTTCCCCGGTGTCAGCCGGAACCGTGACGCGTACCAGTCCATCGACCAGCAGGACCAACCCTTGGGACCGGCCAACCCTTTCGGCCAAGC